CCCCCCCCCCCCCCCCCAAAAAAAAAAAAAAAAAAAAAACACAATGCACCCTTTTTCTCAAGGCTTCAGTTCTTCTTGTCTATTATTATTATTTTACTACTTTCATTGAAAACCCTACTCAGCATCTTTTAAGTTGTTATTATTATTTTACCGAACACGTGATTTTTTTTAAAATAAGTTTTTTCATATTATGATATGTTTTTTTGTACAAAGTGCCACGAAATTGAAGAGAAACTCGTATGTTAGGACCTTGCTGAAGTTCTCATGAAAATTAAAAGAAATCCCAGTAAGAAAAGAAAAAGATGGAGTTTAGAAGCTGATACCTCAATTGCACAATTTGAAGATTCTGAATAGCATTTGTTTGTATTCGCGTGCACAACATAACACAGCACAAAATAAATCTAAATTTCGAATATTACTTAATGAAGTGAAATTTCGATTGAATATTAAACTAGCTTTATTAATTTATTCTGAAACAATTTTTATATTGATTAGATAATTTTTTTAAAAGTCCTATTTGGAAAAAAAATAAAAAATAAAAAATTCATATTTAATATTATTATAAAGTTTATAAGAACATTTATAATGATATTTATTTTTAACTAAAACGAACATTCTAAGTGGAACGTATATTTAAGAAATACGAAAATGAAATATATAGTTTAAATATTATACTAGAAGAATTTTATTATAACAAGCGTCAGGTGAGTTTTATCAAATTTTTGAAAACGAAAGGAGTTTTTTTGGGTACAATTGTCATTCACTAATAAATTTATCATTTACAACACTCCCTCTTCAGTGACACGTTACAAAATATTTACCTCATTAAAACATTGTTTCATAAAATCTAACGGAACAAAAAATCAAACGAAGAAAAAATAGTACAGTTATTTTAGAGGTATTAAAAATAAATACTGTATCATTAAAATCTTGCTAGGAAAACCTAGTGAGATCCTAGTGAGATAAAACCTAAGCAAAGAAAAACAGTACAACTACTCCCCCAAATGTTGATCACTGAAAATCTTTGAGTCGATGCATTCTAATCTCATGAACTAATTTCTTGAATGTAGATGTCGATAATGATTTTGTGAATAATTTCTTGAATTTGTTGGACATCGATGTTTCCATTCTTTCGGAGCTCATGTCGATGAAAGAATTTTGGATAAATATGTTTCGTGCAGTTACCCATTTGAGTTGTGCAATACAAGTTGCATTGTTTTTATACAAAATTGTCGAACTATCTTTTTGTTGAAGTTAACCTGCAAGATGCTAAAATATGATGGGTCATGTTCCTCAATCATATACATTTTTAGCTTGCTTGGATTGTAATAATTTCACGATGATTAGAAAATGTTGTTGTTGTCAAGGATTTCTTTGCAGATCTCTATGATATAACTTTTCCTCCATATATAAACACATATCTTATTTGTGATTTGGCTTTATATGAGTCAGAGAGATAACTTGCATCTGCATATCCTACTAAAGTGAATCCTGACTTTTAAAAATATAATAATCTCAAATCAATAGTGTCCTTTATGTAATGAAAAATATGTTTAACATCATTTCAATATCTTCGAGTTGGTGTAGAGCTATATCTTGTAAGGAGATTTATAGAAAAACTATGTCAGGTTGAGTTCAGTTTGTAAGATATTAAAGTTCGTATTGCACTAAGGTATGATACTTTAGACCAAGAAACTTTTTTCCATCTTCAAGTCAATGAAATGGATCTTTTTTCAATCAAGTGATTGAACAATCATAGGTGATGTTAATGAATGTGCATTATCCATATAGAAAACGTTTTAAGACTTTTTTATATATGTAGATTGATGAAAAAAATTCTTTTGGGAAATGTTCAATCTGCAACTCAAGACAGAATTTGATTTTTCCCAAATCTTTCATTTTAAATTCATTTTTGAAATCATGTGTGTAGGACCGAATTCCACAGCCAACACGTGCAAAATCAGGCTCAGTTTACCAAAAATATCGACACCAAAACTTGAGACAATTCCAACACCACCCTATGCCGCCACCGGTCCGGTTGCTATCAATTGGGAAGGAGAAGACCAAGAATATACCCACAATATGTTAACCACAAAGGTCACAGTGAGAGGGGGAGGGAGAGGCCGAGAGAGAGAGGCTCACAAAGAGGGGATTATTTCACTCTAATGGAGGCCGAGAGAGTGACGGGATTATATGCCAAGTATATTGTCCAAAAAGGTAAGTTACAATTAGGGCTAAGTGGTGGATCAACAAACAAGGCTCGACTCAAATAATTGGGCCTCAACAATAATAATATAGCCTTCCAAGGAATGGTGCGGGAACCGTGAGCAACACTATAAAATAGGTTACTTCGAACGGTCCATAACAAAGTGGATTGTGTTGTCTCGTTAATTGTGTCGATGTACTAATCAATCATTAGGCCGAGGCCGATTGATAATAAACAACCGAGGTTATATCATCGCCCGGGGAGGTCGTTTGACAACAAAATTGCCTAACAACCTCCACCTTGGTGTCAAAGGACATGCAAAGAAAATTATTTCCCATTAGTGACACCTCTAATAGAAAAACAATAAAATTGGAAATCATTTACCTGTACCAATGTTTAGAAGTTCCTTGCAACTCCTAAACTTTGCCAGTGGCAGTACCTTCGTCCCCATATCAGATGGGTTGTAGTGGGTATGAACTTTCTCAAGTCTTACCATCTCTTGAGATACTATATCTCTAATGAAGTGGAATATAACATCAATGTGTTTAGTGCGCTCGTGAAAAACAGGATTTTTGCATAAATGTATGGATGATTGACTATCATAATACACTACCACATAATCATTCAAAACACATAGCTCATGAAGTAGACCTCTAAGCCATAGAGCTTCTTTAATAGCTTCAGTGGTGGCAATATATTTTGATTCTGTAGTGGATAGTGCAACAATATGTTGTAACTGTGATTTCCAACTTACACATGAATTAGATAAGGTAAACACGTAAGACGAAGTAGATTTCCTACCATCCCTATCACCCACATAGTCAGCATCTACAAAACCTTTTAATTTTATGCCTTCTCTATTAGCACTAAACTTTAAGCATACGTTACTAGTACCCTTCAAGTACTTTAACAGTCACTTTAGCGCTTCCCAATGTTCAGGTCTCGGATTAGCCATATATCTACTGAGAGTACTAACAGCAAAACCTAAATCAGGTCTAGTGCAAACCATCAAATACATTATGGAACCAATCACATTTGAGTAAGGTACTCTACTCATGTATTCAACTTCACGCTCATTGCAAGGAGATTGTTCCTTAGATAAAACAAAATGATTAGCAAGGGGCAACGTGACAGGTTTGCATTCACTCATATTGAACTTCTTCAATACTTTGGATATATATGGAGACTGATGCAAAAACAAAACAGAATTTGACCTATCTCTTTCGATTTCAATACCTAAAATTCTCTTAGTCTTACCTAGGTCTTTCATGTCAAATTCACCACTTAGTTTTGTTTTTATGTTATTTATCCACTTAGAGGATGATCCAATCAAAAGCATGTCGTCCACATAGAGTAACAAAAATAGATAATTATCATCAGTCTCATTGTGTTGAAAGTACAGGCAGTGATCAAATTTACTTCTTTGAAACTCTATAGTGAGTACAAAGGAATCAAACCTCTTGTACCACTGTCTAGGAGATTGTTTTAGCCCATACAAGGATCTTCTCAGAAAACACACATAATCAGGTTTTGACTTATCCTTAAAACCTTTAGGTTGATTCATGAAAATTTGTTCATCAAGCTCACCGTGTAGGAAAGCAGTTTTTACGTCAAGTTGTTCAAGTTCCCAGTCAAATTGTGCAACTAATGCGAGCATGACCCTAATAGTGGTGAACTTAACAACTGGTGAGAAAATTTCATTATAATCAACGCCCTCCTTTTGTGTGTAGCCTTTAGCCACTAACCTAGCTTTAAACCTTAGGGGTTCCAAACTGCTAGTTCCTTCCTTAACCTTAAAAACCCATTTACAATCAACAATTGATTTATTCTTAGGCCTAGGTACTAGCTCCCAAGTATGATTCTTTTCCAGAGAACTCATCTCTTCTTTCATTGCCTTAAGCCATTCATTAGATTGATCACTGCCTATTGCTTCTTCAAAAGTCATTGGCTCTTTATCAGCTAGCTCTTCATAACTAGCTTGGGCAAAAGCTAATTCAGATTCAAAACCAAACCTTCTAGGTTCCCTCGACTGTCTCCTCTCTCTATCTCTAACTAAGTTATAGTTAGCTAAGGGATTCTCTTCCTCATAGTGTTCTTCTGTCACTATTTCGTTACTATTTTCCACTTCGGGTTCCTGAGTTTGAGTCTCCACCTCATTTGAGACAGTAGGGGCAGGTGGACTGAGTTTTCCTAACTCCACCTTAAATTGGTCTCTCTCTTCACCCGATTCTACTTCACTCTCGGGTTCAGTTTTCCCTTTAATACACGGCATTTCTTTTTCGTTAAAAGTGACATCTCTACTTATGATGATTTTAACTCCGTTTTGGCTTCTATCCCATAATCTATAACCCTTAACACCTTTGGGGTATCCTAAGAAAACACACTTCCTAGCTCTAGGTTCCAGCTTACCCTCACTTTGATGAGAAAAAACTGTACAGCCAAAAGTTCTAAGTATCGAGTAATCACTCAGTTTACCCGACCATCTCTCATGTGGAGTATCACCATTCAATGCAGCAG